TTTTATGTTCTATGTTCTTACATTTTATGCCCTTAATTGTTGTCTTGATTCTTGCTGCACAGTCTATTTACGCCTACCTACATACCAGTAAACACTCTTTCAATGATGAGCACTCAATGATGATGAGCTGGGAGTCAAAGAGGCCAGGAATCAGTGTCGACTCACAGTTCTTTAGCCACGCAAACAAACCACAATCTGCATAGCAATCCACTGTCGAATCAGTTTGCAAGTTGTCTCTTCCTACATGTTAGCTTAACCTCCGTGCTCTACCATGTGCCTAATAGCGCAACTGTGCTCTCTCACCACAAGGGTGCTCTCACTCACAGTCGGCAGCCTTTTCAACACTTTGCAGCAATTCCCCAACTCTCTGTGAATGATACTCCTTATCATTAAGCAATTGTCATTGATCAATGGTCTTTGATCAGTGGTTGTTGATCAATGGTCAGGACAATTTGCATATTAACCTCCTAGGACCTGGCGTCCACATTTCTGGACATCACATTTTGGGATGTCTAGACCAAAATACTTAATTTTTCTCTACCAGGGCCTGATATCCACTTATGAGGAAACTATACTGCCACTGTTCAATCAAAATTTAAAACAAATGTCCTCATATGTGGATCTTATTTTTCTCAGAAACAAAAATTAGGAAAAAAAAATCTGGTAATTCTTTATTTTTACATTGATCAGGTCCCAATCAACCCAAAAAGCAAAGAAAAATGAAAAATGCATGCCATGAAACAGTTCGGGTCTTAGGAGGATAATGATCGTAAACTAACAGCCCATTGTTCATTTAGTTGGTTAGTTTCTGTCATTGTGCAAATGTAATGTTTATAAGATTGGAGGAACCTGTAATCAGCTGAGACTAAAGAAGCCAATTGGATGAGTGTTGAAATGTTTCTCCCACTGAAAATGCTAAGTCCAGATGAACAGAGTGAACTTTTTGGGGTTAATGATGGTTATTACAAATTAGTTCCCTCTTCTAAGTCTGATGGTAATCTTTTTTTTCTCACAGTAACTTTGTTATATAAAGAGGAAAATATCAGTTCAAATGTGTCAGATCTGTTTCTCTTCAGAGTCTGTCAGGTTGGGGGGAGCCAGTCGCTGTGTAGGAACAGTGGAGCTGAAACATCAAGGAGAATGGAGACCAGCAATTGACTATGACCTCAGGAAAGCAGCTGTTCTCTGTAAACATCTGGACTGTGGATCTGCTGTTTCTGCTGTAATCAGACCGAAGTCCTCACCTGCAGATGTGCTGGGGATCAGCTCTGACTGTTTTCAGTCTGGATCTACTCAAAGCGAGTGTGCAGCACCAAATGCCTCCAACTACACCCTGGATCTCATTTGCTCAGGTAAGACCATGTGTGACATCATATATGACAGCCAGAATTTCAGGGTAATCCTCCCTCTTTAAGTTTTAAGTTCTCCGAAGAAATGACAGAAATCACCTGCTTCACCTTAAATAATCAACTGTCTTTACAGACTTGCTGGTTCAGCCCATCATCCAGGCATCCTCCATCGATGGGGTTTCTGAGGCCCAGGAGCAGGGGCTTACAGTATCCAGGCACTCCAACTTCACCATCAGCTGCTCCATCCAGCCACAATACCCAGGAGGCTCCTTCCAGCTCACCTTCAACTCCACCAACACAGCGTACAGCTACACCCAGCCAGCTGTCAATCACTCTGCCCACTTCCTGTTTCCTGCTGCAGTGCCCGCCCACCAAGGAAACTACAGCTGTGTTTATCACATCTACGTTTTCTCTCATAATTTCACTGCTGAGAGCCACCTGCTGCCTGTCACTGTCTCAGGTAAGCTAAGAGATGATGAAATATCAGTCTGGAAAAAATATAAATGTAAACTTACTGAAAATGATCTGGAAACATCCCATGTGACTAAGATTATAGAAAGTGTATAAATGTCAATAGAAAACATTGTTGTATCACATGCATTAGTAATTAACTTAACACTCATTGGAAACAAGATCGCATATATAGTAGTTTTTGTTTTGTTTTTCTACACATGAAAATGACAGATTATGATTTTTGCACTCCTGTAACGGTTGTCTTTAAGTTTACTGGTTGTCCTGCTTCCCGTTCCACTAACTCTGTATATGCAGTCTGCGGACTTGTGTTTCTCATATGCATCTCACTGACCACTAAAAAACAAATTAAAAAAAGGCCAGAGTCAGGTTACTGAGATGTTTCAAGGCTGAAATAAAAATTTCTTACTAACCAAGCAGAGAGAGAGAGTTCAGTCCTCAGCTGAGCTTTATTCAAAATCCTAAACTATACTTCAGTACTACAGCTACAAGAAGTATTCAGAGAGGAGTGATGATTTACAGAAGTGCCATCAGCAGTCAAGTATTAAAATCTTTTCAAAAATCGTTTTACTTCTTTACTTATGACAATCTGCTTTCAGAGTTTGTCAGCTTGGTAGGAGGACCCAGTCGCTGTGCAGGAACGCTGGAATTGAAACATTTGGGTGTGTGGAGACCAATGGATAGCTCTGACTGGACCATAAAGGCAGCATCTGTTATCTGTGAACATCTGGATTGTGGCTCTGCTATTTCAGTAGAATGGCGAGAGGATTCCACAGAGAAATCTGTGTGGAAGATCCAAGACGGCTGCATTGAGTCTGGATCAGCTATAAAAGAATGCTTACAACTTTGGTTGTCTTCCTTCTCTCTGTATCTCACGTGCTCAGGTAAGCCTATCAATATGATCACATTACACTGATAGTAATGTGTCAGGTAGATGCATAAATCACCTAGACTGGCAGACAATCTTGAGCAGCCTGGCAAAGCAGAGCTTCAGGAGTCCAGTGGAACAACCAGCAGCAGCTTCTTTGGTTGCCACTGTCACATCCCCGAGTGACTGACTGGCCACAAGTGTTAACAGCTCAGCTTAGCCAGGGTTCATTATTACCTTCACCCCGACACAGCCTTTGTTTTCCAGAGCACCTCCAAATACTCCTCATTTGAATTTGTCAATGTATTTGAATGCTAATGCTAGTTTCTAGACAAATGTTAAAAACCTCGGTGTGTGCCTTGAGGGTGCCTTTAGACTGTGTAGACAGGTGAGCGCAGTAGTCGAATCTAGCTTTTTTCATCTGAGACCGCTAGCCAAGTAAAGCCATACCTGCCAGCTTGTGTCTTTGAACGTGTTAGTCATCTGTTAATTACTTGCAGACTAGACAACTTTAATCCTCTGTACTTTGGTTTAGACCAGGCTTCTATTTATCATCTGCAGTTGATCCAAAGTGCAGCTGCTCGTCTGCTGACTGGTACAAAATGAAAGGCGCATATAACCCCAGTGTTGGCTTCTCTACACTGGCTTCCTGTTTTTTACAGGATCCAATTTGAGATATTACTCTTTGTTTTTAAATCACTAAATGGCTGAGCCCTCTCTTACCTTTCTGAGTGTCTATTTATTTTTGCTCCAAAAAGAATCAGGAGGTACGGTTAAAATCCAATGCTATTCATTCCACAGTCTAAACTTAGATCTTGTGGCGATGGAGCCTTCTCTGTGGCAGGTCCCAGACTCTGGAATAGTCTGCCTCTAACTGTTAGATTTGTATAAATGCTGGAACATTTTACATCTTTATTGAAGACACATTTTTATGGTCTGGCTTTTAGCGCAGGTTGACTGAAACATGTTTTCTTTTAACAGCCCTAGTTATTGTTGTTTTAGTTTATTTTATTGTCCTATTGTATTATTCCTTCTGTTTTATATTTTATTGCATCATTGTTGTTCAATTTACTTATTTTAGTTACATTTCAGTTTGAAAAGCACTTTGTGCAGCATGGGGCGTTTGGAATGTGCTATATAAATAAAGTTGACCATGACTTTTCCTGCATAGCCAGGTCTCCATTTAAGAGACCTTTAATGTTAATGAGACTTTTTACAAGGAAAAATAAACGATATATATTCTCATTGTGCAGACACATTTGCACATACATTCCATCCCCATAATGTTCTCTCTATGGTTCCCGTTGTGCATGTTTAAGGCTGAGAATTTTCACAACAGACAATATTATTCCAGACCTCAAAGGGAATATCCATAAACGTAATAAAAATACAAATATTTATAAGTTACTCTGCATCAACTGTCTGTCTGGTCATCTGGCTGATCTGAATTGCCAAAAAACCCCAAAACAAATAGCCTTCTCAATGTAAGATATACAGTGGTATGCAAAAGTTTAGGCACCCTTGATAATTTTCATGATTTTTCTTCATAAATCATTGGTTGTTTGGATCAGCAATTTCATTTAAATATATCATGTAGCAGATGAACACAATGATATTTGAGAAGTGAAATTAAGTTTATAGGGTTTACAGAAAGTGTGCAATAGTTACTTAAACTAAATTAGGCAGGTGCGTAAATTTGGGTACCCTTGTCATTTTATTGACTTAAATATCTTTAGCGCTAATTATTGGAAGACAAAATTTGTTTGGTAAGCTCACTAACCCTTGGCCTACATACACAGGTGAATCCAATCATGAGAAAGGGTATTTAAGGTAGCCAATTGCAGGTTTTTCTCCTCTACATCTTCTCTGAAGAGTGACTACATGGGAGCCTCAAAACAACTCTCAAATGACCTAAAAACCAACATTCTTTAACATCATGGTTTAGGGGAAGGATACAAAAAGCTATCTCAGAGATTTCAGCAGTCAGTTTCCACTATAAGGAACATAGTGAGGAAACGGAAGACCACAGGTACAGTTCTGTTTAAGGCTCAAAGAGGCAGGTCAAGGAAAATCTTAGATAAGCAGAGGCGGAGGATGGTGAGAATAGTCACAGTCAACCTACAGACCAGCTCCAAAGACCTACAACATCATCTTGCTGCAGATGGAGTCACTGTGCATCGTTCTAATATTTAGCGCACTTTGCACAAGGAGATGCTGTATGGGAGAGTGATGCAGAAGAAGCCCTTTCTGCACACATGTCACAAACTGTGTCTCTTGAGGTATGCTAAAGCACATTTGGACAAGCCAGCTTCTTTTTGGAATAAGGTGCTGTGGACTGATGAAACTAAAATTTAGTTATTTGGACATAACAAGAGGTGCTATGCATGGTGGAAACAACACAGCATCCCAAGAAAAAAATTTGGTGGTGCTTCCATCATGCTGTGGGGCTGTGTGGCCAGTGCAGGTACTGGGAATCTTGTTAAAGTTGAGGGTCGCATGGATTCCAGTCAATAACAGCAGATTCTTGAGAACAATGTTCAAGAATCAATCACAAAGTTGAAGATGCACCAGGGCTGCATATTTCAACAAGACAACGGCCCCCATATACTGCTCAAAATCCACTAAGGCAATTATGCAGTGAAAAAAGTACAACGTTCTGGGATCTCAGTCCCCAGACCTGAATAGCATTGAAAATCTATGGCGTGACTTAAAGTAATAATAATTATAATGGATTGGATTTATATAGCACTTTTCAAGGCACCCAAAGCGCTTTACAATACCACTATTCATTCACATTGACACACTGGTGGAGGCAAGCTACGGTTGTAGCCACATCTGCCCTGGGGCGGACTGACAGAAGCGAGGCGGCCATATCGCACCATCAGCACCTCTGGCCAACACCAGCAGGCGGTAGGGTAAAGTGTCTTGCCCAAGGACACAACAACCAGGACAGAGAGCCCAGGAATCAAACCGGCGACCTTCTGGTTACAGATGCACTTCCCAACCCCCTGGTTTTCCTTGCTCGGAAACCATCAAACCTGACTGAACTGGTTATGTTTTGTAAGGAAGAGTGGTCCAAAATACCTTCAACCAGAATCCAAACTCTCATTGGAAGCTGTAGGAAACATTTAGAGGCTGTAATTTTTTCAAAAGGAGGATCTACTAAATATTGATCTAATTTTTCTGTTGGGGTGCCAATACACCTGCCTAATTTCATTTAAGTAACTATGGCACACTTTCTGTAAATCCTATATTCATTTCACTTCTCAAATATCATTGTGTTCATCTGCTATAAGATATACTTAAATGAAATTGCTGATCCAAACAACCAATGGTTTATGAAGAAAAATCATGAAAATTATCAAGGGTGCCTAAACTTCATATCACTATTTTTTTTTGTAAATAGTTTGTAAATAGATCATTGCAAATATTCAAGCATTGTACATATTGAGCGCTGCAGTAGGAGTGGTCAATAGTTAACTTTTTATTTACCATAAAAAGTTGATTAGTGACATTGATATCAGACTTGGCTAATGTTAGCAGAAGTGTTCATCTTAGTAGAGCTGGGCGATATATCGAGTTTTTAAAACATATCGATATATTTTTATACGAGATATAAGATGTGACAATATCCTTTATATCGATATTGTCATGGTCCTGCGACCATGACTCGGTGACTTTGTGTTTGTGTTCTTTATTGTTATTACTTTCATTATTATTCATGGCTGTTTTGGGATGGTTTGTGTTTGGGATTTTAGATACTGGGTTTTGGGTTTGTGCTCCCTCTATTGGTCCCTGGTGTCAGTGTTCCCCTGTCTCGTCAGGTTAACCAGGTCCAGCTGTGTCTCCCACCTGTGTGTGATTTCCCAGTGTCTCTTTGTGTACTTATAGTGTGTGATTTCCTCTGCTCCTCGTCGCGTCGTCTGTGTTCATCCTCTGAGTTCCCCTGCGTACTCTGTGTTCATACCTGGTGTAATCCTCTGCGTGCTCTCCCTGCTGTTCTCCCTTCATGTTCAGGTTTGCCACTCCTCTGTGTAGTTTATCCCAGTTTAGTTCATCCTTAGTTCTGTTTGCCAACCCCAACTTCAGGCTGGTATTGTTAATAAATCACCCTTCACATCCGAATAAGTGCTGCATTTGAGTCCTCCTTCCACTCTTCACACGGCAACTGCCCCGGACCGTGACAGATATAGTCTATGTTACGTTATAATTATAGTTGTGGAGCCGCAAGTTTGCCTCTCTTTCGTCCACTTTTGTCTCTACGCAACGTTACTCCGCCTCGCCTTCACTGAAGACAACTCCCCCTCCTCCCCCATCGCTTCACGTGCAGGCAGCGACAAGATGGACATGGCAAATCGCCGTTAACGAGTTACTGCGCATCGCCCCGTGCATGGGGCTGGACGGCGTCAACGTGTTAACGAGCTAACCGCGCTAACCGCGCTAACCCTAAAATCCTTTCATTCTCTCAAAAGTTGATAGCGCGCCTTATGTATGAATTCTGGTTGTGCTTGATGGCCGCGAACCGATTTTATGTGGTACACAGCGCTCAGCAATCTGTCAAAAAATGTTTTGGTACGACTTTGGTAAACTACGAAGCTGCAGCACTTGATGGATTGTCGGCGCATTACGGCTACCGAGGAGCTTCGCGGAGTGATCCGTACTGTGCTTCAACGTAATATTACCTATTGTGTGTGTATAAGGACCATAAATGGCACCTGTAAGAGACGTGGTTATGAAGCGGATTTCAAACTCCAGGCTGTCAGTCACACAGTAGAAGTTGGGAACAGAGCAGCTGTGAAATCTGTCTTTGTTATTACGCTCAGCGTCTTTTAGTTTACATTTTGACTGCACAATTGTGAGCTTTTTGTTTAGCACAAAAACAACATTGTTTTCTTTTATTTATGGAGCATTTTTATTTAATGAATGCTCATAATTTAATTTTGAGTAATTTTTCATGTACATCTGTGCTGTATGTTAATAAAAGTGCCTGTGTGACATCTGGGACACAGCTTTGACTAAGAACTCTCTTTTTGTTCTTACTTTATGGCTTAAAAAAAATATAGAGATATATATCTTATATCGCCATCCAGCTAAAAAATATCGAGATATGAATTTTGGGTCATATCGCCCAGCCCTACATCTTAGCTGAGGTTATTCCCCCATAAGAAGTATCTTTTTAAGTGTTCTCCTTTTTCTATTGGTGCTTTCACACCATATAACTGTGAAAGTACCACCAGTCAAATCCAGGTTGATCTACTTCCATGCAGAGGTTGTCTGTTCCTTCTCTCTGTATCTCTGTGGCTACTCTGCCTTCCTCCCACAGTCACAAAACCTCCAAGTTAGTCTCAGAAAAAAATATTTTTCTTGTGTCTCTGCTGTCTCTGATCTCTCTGTTTGATCGTCTCTGATGTCTCCAGACTCTGTCAGGCTGCTGAATGGTTCCAGTCTGTGTTCAGGCAGACTGGAGGTGAAGTCTAACCAGAGCTGGTCCTCAGTGTGTGAAGCTGACTTTGACCAGCAGGATGCAGAGGTGGTCTGTAGGGAACTCGGCTGTGGGCCTCCTTCGGTCCTCCAGGGGACGCTCTATGGAGAAGTGGAGGCTCCAGTGTGGAGCAAAGAGTTCCAGTGTGGAGGCCATGAGTCTGCTCTCCTGGACTGTAGAAGCTCAGGCTCAGCTAGAAACAGCTGCTCACCTGGCAAAGCTGTTGGACTCACCTGCTCAGGTAGAAGAGGAGCTGCAGCTTTGATGTGGTCAAACTCATTTATTCTTTTACTGATGACTCTCTGCTTTCTGTTAGAGCCTCATGATCTCAGGTTGGTGGGAGGAGCCAGTCGTTGTGCAGGATCACTGGAGCTAAAACTGGGAGATTGGAGACCAGTGGAAGCTTCTGAGTGGATCCTGGGCAAAGCAGCTGTTATCTGTGAACATTTGCACTGTGGTTCTCTTGATTATGTGGAGGCTAGAAATGAGTCCTTGCTCAGATCTGTTTGGAGACTCAAACCTGACTGCGTTCAATCTGGATGTGCTCTGAGGGAGTGTGTAACATCAGAATACTCTTTAATGATTATGAATTTCACCTGCTCAGGTAGGCTCACCACTGACATCATCCATGACAGTTATACCTGTCACATGCTTTCTGTCATGAATATAATGTTTGCTTAGTGGTCTTGATTGTAAAGATTGAGAAAGCTTCAGACCCTCCAGGACACACTTGCAGGAAGCATTATGCTCTGTGTTTGGTGCTCATTGTTTGAATGAAAGGTTGATGTAAGGTGACCTTGTAGAATCTGTGTGTTTACAGACTTGCTGGTTCAGCCAAACATCCATGCATCCTCCATGGATGGGGTCTTTGAGGCCCAGCAGCAGGGGCTTCAGGTGTCCAGCCGCTCCAACTTCACCATCAGCTGCTCTATCCAGCCACAGTACCCAGGAGGTTCCTTCCAGCTCACCTTCACCTCCTCCAACACGGCATACAGCTACACCCAGCCAGCTGTCAATCACTCTGCCCACTTCCTGTTTCCTGCTGCAGTGCCCGCCCACCAAGGAAACTACAGCTGTGTTTATCACATCTACGTTTTCTCTCATAACTTCTCCTCCGAGAGCCGCCAGCTGTCTGTTGCTGTTTCACGTAAGCTGAAGTTTTCTGATTTTTTTGGATGCATATAAACACATTTGACCAATCACGGCACTGAAGAGAGTGAAACAGTCAAAGTGTTCAACATGGCGGAACACTTGTTTGTTGTGGCACAGAATAGCTCACAATCAGGTCTCTGAGATTATTTCTCTTCCTTCTCATGTGTTGTCCCAAATCTGCTACCCCACTGAAATCCTGAAATATGGATGAAAGCTTCAACTCCTGGATCAGACCAGAAAATTCTCCCTGCTGCTGCTTTCTCCTGAGAATGGCATGCACCCAGGATCAGGACTAGCTCATCGTCGCTTGATGTTCTCTCCATTTTTTCCGCACAGTGGGCTTTCTGAGGATACTTTTTTTTTGTAAAAACTTAACGTGCTCAGTGTGTGTGTAGGTTATATGGCAAGTTCACATACGGGAAAAATTATAGCATCTCATTTTTGTGTATGAGCCTTATAATTAGAGCAAAGATCATGTTTCATCACCTGGATAAGTCTGGTTCTGAGTGCAGTCAACTGCGAGAAAGATACAAGCTTCATCTCATCTATCATGCACCCCTCAGCCATTTTCAGGTGTACTTCCTACACCTAGCTAAGACTCAGATACTTTATTCAGGACCCAGAACCAGGGTTAATCTGCTAATAGCTCACTTTGTTACTATGATACATAGGGCCATCCTGGCGTGCATGAAGACCCACACCTGATGTTGCATTCCAGAGTTTTCATTTGTCAAAACCGCAGTGGTCTCAGGACTGATGTTTAGGTTCACTTAATCCCTACAAACCAAAAAGTGCTTCACGGTGAAAATGGATAATGAGCCGAAGCAAACTGAAAAAGTAGCCCAAGAGTTTCTAAAGGAAAAAAGATGGGTGATTCTTTAACAACCAAAACAGCCACCTAATGTCAGCACAACAGAGGAACTTTTCAGAATAACCCACAAGCAGAGCATCTCAGGGAGGGGCTCCAGGATTTAGTGAGTGATGTTCATAGGTCCTCAACTTCAGGCAGCCAGTGACTGCAAAGGATTATTATGAGTATAAAAAAACAATCCGTATATTTGACCAATTCGTGAGCATTCTGAAAATATGGATTAAAGTGTTTGTAATTGAATACTTGATTAATACTTTAGTTTACTGTTTAGCTAAACTTGATGATTTCTTTTAAACATCCCCTGTGATGGTGTACTGAAACAAAACTGTCCAAATACTTTTTCTATACTACAGTACAGTGTCTCAAATTATATTTGTAATATTTCAATGAAGATATATTTGCACTTTCAACAAATAATTAGATGTATCACTATTTTTAGTCTGATTAACATATTTCATTTCACATATTCTTATATTACTATTCTTATATCTGAACAGCTGTAAAAATGACTGTTTCTTCTCAGAGATCAATCAAATATTTTATTCAGGTTCAGTGTAATAATTTAAACTACTGAACTCATTAAACTTTGTTCCATCCAACAGCTCCAGCAGCTCCAACAGTTCATACCATCACAGGAGTCATCCTGCTGCTGATTCTCCTGATTGTGATTACTGCCCTTTATTTCTGCTGGAAGGTACTGAAACATCTTTGTTGCTGAGAATGAACTGACAAGAGGATCAATGCAGTCAGTCTGATCTGTGATGTCTCTGCAGGCCAGCAGGGAGCAGACGCTGAGCAGAAAGGACACTGACGTGGTTTACTACAACTACAGTGATCACGGAGAAGGAGGATCAGCTGAAGATGAAAGTCGCCAGGGAGGAGAGGAGGACCTCAAAGAAGCTCATCTCAAATCCAATTGAATTTCTGAAAAATGACTATCATAATAGTTAACACAACAGTTTTCTATTGAATATAAACTTGTGTACTCACTTCACTGATGTGTCGCTTCATTTAAAACTAGAGGGGAAAGCACAATGTCATCCAACAAACCAGGGGCGATTCTAGGATTAGAGCTTTGGAGGTGCTGAGCACCCAGAGAGCTGCCCAGCCAGGCAAGATAAATCATAAGATTCTTAAATTCATCAAGTCTCTCTGTGCCTGGGTTCCTCGTCTCAAAACATGACATCACTGTTTTATACATTTTAACACAATTTAATCCCCATATTTGTGAAAGAAAAGCAAAACACTTTTTTTGAAAAGTCTGTAACAAACCCATCAAATCTGATCAAGGTTATTTAAATGCTGCAAAAGAAGAATGGATCGGAATAAAAAAGAAAACATATCCTAACCTTAATTACTGGGGGAGAATAATGAATGATGCTCATAGTGAGTAAAAAGTAAACTGAGTGCATTGTTTGGACAGAGATTCACTTTTAAGGTGTATGTATAATATAATACAGATACATAAAAAACACTCCCAAAACAGAATAAATTATTACAAATAAAAATCTAATTTAATAATACTAATTTTGTGTTGTAAGATTTATGGGTTTCATTCTTTCATAGTGGTACTTAGGAGAGCTTGACACTGTAAAAAGTTTGAGAAACACTGATAAGTGTCTGTGTGCTTTTGGAAAACATTTAAAGCTGCGTACAGAATCTTTGAAACAAGCTTAAAACATTTTTAGAATATAAACAGAGCATCTGCTTCTCTTTACAGCTCCTCACTCCACCAGGGCTGTTTGGCTCTTTCTGATAGTGCGCAAATGTGATGTACGTACTGCAGCAGTCATACAGACAACTGGACGGTCCAAAAGTTGGCCTACCTATTACTGGCTGAGGTTTTAGTAGAGTTGTGGCTGAACCACATAAAAATATATCATTAATTTTAATCTCCCCAATCAATGATAATGTTATGTTGGAATGTTGTTAAAGAGGGTCAAAAATGTTTCAACCCAGTTTGTTTTGCAGATTCTGTACAGCAGCTTTAATATAGGGAGGACACAACTTCCAGATTGTTTGAGTAAAATCAGGTTTTTTCTCTTTTGCCTGTCACTGTTCCCTGTCTGTTTTCTTACCTGGTTCTTCCTGACCTTGTACTTTCTCCTCACGTTCCCTCTTTCCTCTCCATCTAATCTGTATTCAATTAGATGAAAAATTACATTAATATGAAAAAATACTATTAAGATCACTAACAAAAAGTCCTCTCTCAGTGTACTTTCAACCAAAAGGTAAATAACCAAACCACATGAACATCTATTAAAAGATATAAACATTGAAACACTGATCCAACATTATTCTTGAGAGACGGATCGTTTGATTTTACACTTTTACCTGAATGTGGCTCCTTTTTTTAAAAAATAAAACCTCCTTATATCCATTATGAACTTGGCTGTCTCTCTGTACACACACACACACACACACACACACACAACAGCAGTTATGAGGTTAATGGGCATTCAGTCAGTTAGCTAGTTAGTATCCATTTCAAACAGGACAGTGGTAACAACAGCAGGCTACAGACAATTTTAAGTTTTAGATTTTAAATAGGTTGTATAACTTTTAATGAGAGCAACAGGACGGTCAAATGTCGCTGATTTTACTACAGAGCAGGACGGATTGTAGGGTAGCAAACATCAACCGAAAAGTTTTCAACACTGCTGGTTACCTGGTGTAATGTTTTTCAGTAAAAAGAAACATGGCCTGACTCCTACCAACTATATAAAGAGTAACTGAAGGTTAAATGCAGCTAATATGTCCTGTTTTAAGCCAGGCACTTACACCTCTGCTCCGCTGCGTCTCAGCCACCATCGCTCTGGCAGCAACGGCGCTAGAGCCAGAGCAAGGGAGAGCTGGAACAAACCATTTTTTGGGGGGGGGTATCTATACTTTTGTTCTTAAAATGTTACGTCTCAACCAAGTACTGTATGCTTTTTATGTTTTTAGTAGTGTGTCACACAAACAGCAAATATTGTCCAAAAAAGTAAGAAATCTTTGGGGGTGCTTTGATTCATTTTGGGGATGCTGAAGCACATTTATTTCTTACACTTTAAGCCAGGGGTGGGCAATCTCAGTCCACGCGGGCCGGTGTCCCTGCAGGCTTTAGATGTGTCCTCAAACCAACACAGCTGATTTAAATGGCTAAATTAGCTCCTCAACATGTCCTGAAGTTCTCCAGAGGCCTGGTAACAAACTAATCATGTGATTCAGGTGTGTTGACCCAAGGTGAGATCTAAAACCTGCAGGGACACCGGCCCTCGTAGACTGAGATTGCCCACCCCTGCTTTAAGCCCACAGAGTCGTGCTGACAGATTTTTTTTTTTGTCCTTTGTCACAGCAACTTTTTCTTTATCATTTAGAAGAACAGTTAAATATGGAACTTCTGCAAACTGTATGTGGCCCGCCATGTAAAATGAGTTTGACACCCCATCTAAGCCTTTGTCCAACAGAGTCCTTCCTCTGGATACAGATCCATTCGCATCGTGGAAAAACTTCAAGCATAAGAAGATTGAAGCTACGCTAGCAGAACAAGGCCATTTGTTCCAGGTACATCTGCACCAAGTGAGAGGAGGACATTGATACTACAAGTACATCTTATCTCTCAACAGAGAGTGTGGACAGACTGATGTTTTTGCAGAGGCAGGTTGTTTTAAAGCGGTGCAGCGTGTGTTATTTTGGTTTATGCAGCATTTTTATATTGATGGCTTGCTGTTTTATTTAATTTTACATTTAGATAATGCTGTAACACATGTTAAGAAACAATTTCAAATAAATAAAAAGCTTAAATCAGATGAAAGAAGATCAGATTTCAGGACTGGACTCTTCACAAACACTGAAGAGTCAAAGTTGGATTGAACATTTCTACACTGTGTCTGAGTTCAGTGTCTCTAACATCCCCTTTACTCACTGATTAGAAAGACAACAACATGTTGGACTGTTTCTGGATCATGTCAGTGACATGTTACTTTCCCACAACCACTTTACTAACACTGAGTCACCATGAGAGGAGCAGCAGAAACAAGCTCACACTGACAACTTTAGAACAACATTAGAACAACGTGACAGAAACACATGTATTTGTGAAGAACACAGAGTGACTTTGTGTTTAATTTGTGATATCAGGGAGGGAGCTGTTCTCACACACTGTTGTACTGATCATTAAACAACAGGTGGCGACCTCACTTCAGTTAAAGCACAGTCACAGAAACACACTATGGGCTTCATATATTCGTGTAAAATTATAGCTGCTGTATCATTTAAATTTGGGATACTTTTTGACATTTTGATTCGGACAGGGGGAACAAATTGCAGCAGGATCAGCTCAGATCGTGCTCCCAACGCAGGGGAAACCAATTCTGCAGGGGAGACCTACCTTGGCACTTGTGCAGGTGAAGCCAAAGGGAAGATGCTTCACCGTATTTTCTAGTCTTTGGCTTGGAAGAAAGTTGGTTTGGAAACATACTTGGCAATGCTTCATCTCTTGCTTTGCGTTTGTGTGTGAGCCCTGTCAAAAACCTGTCAATTAAGCTAGCATTGTCCAAGCGTTCTTTTTTTTTTTTTCATACCGCCCCACCCGCCCCTGCAATGGGTCTGCACTCACCCCTAGGGGTCGGGCCTCACACTTTGGGAACCTCTGTGTTAAGGTATTAAAAAATATCACACTGTTAAAAAACAAATGAATGTGAACCTTCTTCAGTCCATTTTTAAATATTTTCCCAGCTGCTGTTTGAACCGCAGAGCTGCTCTGGTTCCTTCATCCACTCTGCTTCTCATCTCCTCCAGTTTCTGGACCTTCTCTGTGTTTCCTTTCTCCTTCATCTTCTCAATCAGGAAGTCCAAGTGGACAATGGAAGATGCTGAATCAGCTTTCAGAGCTTGCTCATCCAGTTTGACAACAAGTTTGTAGGACTCATTTAATAACTGTGACTCATCTGCTGTCTGTTGGATAATTTCCTTTTCAGGGTTTCCCAAAAGATTCTCTGTTCTTTTCCTATAATTTTTATTTTTCTTCAGACCTTCTGGAAACTGTTTCAGTTCAGTCAGGCCACATCTATCTTTCAGATTTTGGATGCAGGTCGTCAGTCTGATTCGTTCATTCAGAACTTCCACAGTTATCATCAGTCTTTGAGCTGTAGCTTTTTCCAGAAAGGCTGTGAACTCTCTCATTCCTCTCTCTGTTACTGTCCATGCAAATTCCAAACTAATTTCGTTTTCCTCTGTTCGCTCTTCATGCTGGCAGCTATTAAACAGGAAGTGAACAGGCTGATTCTTCTCATTTTTGGCACATTTAATGTTTGCTGCTTCAAGAGCTTGGAAAGCATTTTTAGGACGTCTTCCATCTGAGTGTGTGATCAGAGCTACAACATTTTTCTCCATGTTTTCTCCAAATAGAGACATCACTGAATCAAAGACATTTATCGCTCGGTCACTCAGTCGATAATCTGACATTTTCATCACCAATCCCAGTGCATGAACTTCATGAACTCCATTCTCTGATCCAAACAAGTCCAATAATTGCTGACTGATGATGTCATGTTTAATCCCTCTGGTGTCTCCATATCCAGGAGTATTGATGATGGTCAGAGAGTAGGGAAGAGTTTTATCTTCAAAACCAAAGATCTCGTACACGATCACATCTAATGTCTGACTTTCTGCCTGACTTTTCTTCTCCTCCTCTACGATCTGAAACCAGACTTCATCCTCCCACTTCACTCCCATTCTGTAGTTAAACAGAGAGTTGATCAGAGTAGATTTTCCTGCTTCTGTTTCACCTACAAGTAAGATGGTTTTATTTGGCTTGTTTGGATTTTTTTCACCAACAGTCATTCTTGTCAGAGTTCCAAACTTCTGTTTTTTTGTTCTCAGCTGGTAAACAGCAGGAGGTCCTGAACGGGTCAGATCACTGTTGAAGATGATGTCCTTGTACTTTGAGATGTTACTTGTCCTGCATCAAAAGCAGAGTTTCAATCAGAAGTTACAATCAAAGTACAATGTTTTTGAGTAGTCATGTCTGTGCCTCTATTATCTGTATTACTTGCAGGATTTTAAGGCACCTGTATTTCAGTACTGTGTCAAATTACAGCTGCTGTTAGTGATGTGTCGGTCACGAACGAAACAGCTCTTAGAGTCGGCTCTTTGAAGTGAACGACACG